CTTGATTTTCGGGGGTCCTTCTGTTTTGCTCTTGCAGGGAAGTAACAAAAATTACATCTGGAACATTTCCCGTTTTTCTTCTAACCCTAAAATAAAATCATGGCAACAATATCAAAAAACTTCTATAAAAATCATTTGAAAATTGCCATGGGCTTGAAGAATCATGTTCTTGGTGTAGTATCAGCAATGTCTCTGAAATTTTTTAAAATAGGAATTTCTGTTGGAAACTTAAAGTTACCTTCCATATGTAGTACAATCACCCTATATTGTTCAATAATATGAATGCAAAAACTTGAACTATGGGTGACATAGGCATGCCTTTGTTTTCACATTGATATTTCTCTTTAAGCGATGCTCCCTTCTTAGTCCCTGAACATGAAGGCCACTTAAAATGTCCTTATTATTTGTAATAACTTTTAGAAAAACCCATATGTTATTTATTAGCAGCAGGCTTTACTCAGGAAGTACTTGATAAGGAACCCTTGAGAGCCTATTGTTTTCAGAACGTTGTATTAATATCCGTCGGCTCTGCACGTCAGTTCCTCCTCCTCTGCTTGTGCTTCCTCCATTTTTTTTTTCATCACAGGCTACACAGAGCTGCCCCATGTCTTTCTTTACATACATCATCTCTGCTTTTTTCCTATTTTCCTGCATAATGGTCCAGCTTTTCTGAGAGTAGCTGTTGTCTCGAGTGTGATCCTTTACTAAAATGGGGATTGAATGAAGGTAGAGCACAAATTATCTGGAAGCAAAGGAAAACCAGTCCTTTGAAAGAGACTCAGAAAGCAACGAGTAATGAACCAGAGTGGCCTCGATGAATTGCCATAGAGGGAATTCTCAGTTTTGACACAAAAGGAACACATGGATACCAAGGAAAACCTAGGAGAGAATCTCAGTAGGAAGCCTGCCTCGAAGGTTGGTCAGTATAGAGGGTCAAAGCCAGCAGCCCTCAGATATGAACAGAAACAAATGTATTTTATGAGTAACAGCTCAGCCTTCAAACATGCCGTTTTGGAGCACAAGGTATTTTGAGGAGTTGACATCCCTTCATAATTCATGTTCATTGTTCCTCTAAGTAAAATATGCGTCTCTCTGTAGTTACTCTGTTAGGAATTGTACTTTAAAGGCAAGAGGACATTTTTGATAATGCACATCTTAAACTTTTCATTAAACTACCAAATTTAAATTCTACCTTTTTGTGCACTCTGACATTTTTGTCTGGCATTTTCATTAATTTTGCGACATACATAAATGTAGCTGAAATGTTAACTGATCAATACTTTGTCTCTCTCATGTAGCACTAGCACTCCATTCCCTAAGGACCACACAGCAGAACAGAAATTAAATGTGTAAAATATCAAATGTTAATGTTAAACACAGAGGCACTTACTGTATAACGACAGAAAAGGCTAAAACAATTCCAAATGGACAGATGGTACCACAAATTATCTACAATCACATTTAAAGATTAAAGTTTGTCCTGTAAAATAATTCTTTGACGCACACTGAAGTGTGTCCTTTTACTGATAGCTCAGTTGTCCAATTATTTTTGCGCTCATTACAGTGAGAAATGACAGTACTGAAGAGAAAGAGAGAGTGTGCACTCCTTTTCCCCCCGTGTTGTACCCACTGACATCCATAAGAACACAAATGTCTGGTCAAGAGCCTGATGAAAATTAGGCCCAATTTATGAGACATTTCCACGTCTACAAATAGATGATTCCAATAGGCAAGCAGCGCCTTCTGCACCACATCCGTCTGTGCTCGCTCTCAGGCATACAATATTCATAGCAAAATCTAAAAACCTAATTCATGGCACAAAAACATAGACATTCCCAGGAACATGTTCACTTATATTCTATCCATCACCTTCTAGGCGATTTCAGCTTCTAGCATTGGCAGTCAGCTTTGAATCTTCCCCGCAGCACAGAGCTCTCCTGCGGGAGAGGCCGGAGCAGCTCTAACCCTGCATTTCTCGTTCTCTCCGCTTTACTTGATGTTAGGACAAGAAGTTACTTTTCCCATTTTGATTCCTTTATTTTACATGTACTTTGTGGTGGTAAATTAGAAGAGAAAAATAAAACAGAATAGAAAAAAAGGCACTTAACTGTTATAAAGTTTACTGATCTGGACCTAAAACCAAGCTGCATAATGGTACAAATGCACATGCTCCATGAGGCAGCTGCATTTATGAAAAAGTGGGCCAAGTGGAACCGATATTATAATAATAGACCCATGATCCAGCCACAGGGAATGATGGGAACAATATGTTTGTAACAATGGGGTACTGCTCATACTCTTCTCCTAATGGAAAGCAGTTCTTTTCAATAAACCAGCCTAAAAAGGCTCTGGGTATGCAATTATATATTTGAAATGCTTTGTTTTTAAATACTCACATCATTTAATATCAATAAGATAAAAAAAATCCTACAATAGACTTTTCCTTCTGATTGTTAAAATTACACAATACATACTTAAATTTCTTTTAGAAAGGAAATAATATCTGCTGTGTGACTTTGGCCAAGGTACTGTACTTTTCTGTGCCTGAGTTTCTTCCTCTATATATTGGAAAATAGTAGTGTTTACCTCATAGTAAGGTTGTTGGGAATATTAAACTCACTAATGCAAGAAGGCATTAGTGTCCCCCCAAAAAACAGTTCCCTGGCACATGAGTGCTTAATAAGTGTTAGTTACTATTATTATATAAAAATCTCTTTGTATCAGAATTTAATCTGAGGTTAAAATAAATGGTTGATAGATTATAAAATAGTTTAGAATATAAATGGAAGGTTTAGGGAAAATTGCTACAACAGCATTAAGCTACATCTATTATCATTTAGTAACCAGTTTTATGAGCACAAACACTTATTTATCTGGTATCATTGAATGAAAAGTTTCTCCACATAAGAAAAATTTCCAGATAGGTTCACTAGTTGGTTGATTGGTTTAGAGAGACATTTGTATTGGAGCCTCCTGGATGGTAGACGCTCTGTAGGTGATGCTGGAGTATCCGTGAAAAAGGCAGGGTCCCCGTTTTCATGGAACTCTCAATTCAGTTCTAGCTAAGTGAAGCTTGGTTTTATCATTCATTGTTTTCATCACATTCAATAGAATGTAATTCAGCACTTTTTTCTCAACAAAACACTTAGGATTATTGCTTCTTCTCAAAAGTACTCGTAATGTGTGTTCGCGTATTAGTTCGTGGTCTCTTTGTGACCACTGGTGTCAGCAGTCCTTTACCCCCCCTTTTATTGTGTCCTCCTCCCTTTGTTGCAAGCATCTTGCATTCAGCTTGTTTCACAGGACTGAGTCTGTCAGGAACCGACCACCAGTTAACAGAGATATTGCATTTCTTACCTAGTGAGCTTTGATCCTCTTACAGTGAAATCACTCAAGTATTATCATGTACATGTACCTAAGTTTCTCAGAATTTCAGCGTGTGACTTTCTTCTAATTGGAAAGAAAATTTAAACAAACTCTGCCATCTTGAATTCACTTTACATGAGTGACATCTAGAAGCCATATAAATTTTATAAAGACTTACAAAACACAATGTAATGCTAAAATTTTAAACATGCCTGTTCCTGAACAAATTATATAATTATGTAGATTTCTTTGCTTTCAAATTTCGCAAACAGCTGTGGGAAATGACTTTGGAAGGAGTCAATCAAAGATGGCAGCATAATCTTTTTGGTAGAATATTATTGTGACTGTGATAAGGCACCATGGAACTTGGATGTAATGGCATAAAATATACAAAGAAACTCAATATAATTTTTTCCTTATTAACATCAAAGTGCCTCTATGATAGTGAAAAATCATAACAAAGTTTGCTTAACAGTTCCCCCCACCCCCAAAGTACTTGATATGTGAAAGAACTAAATAAAAGAATATTGAAAGAGGCAGAGTTTCCTTTCTAAAACTTAGTGATGATGACAATCTCTTTCTTTAAGGAGACAACAACATGCCTATGGGAAGCAGGCTGCCTAACTTTCTGGTAACTTAGAACATAATGGGACATATACACTCTTTGTTCTATGTGCTCAGACATTAACGAAAATCCCATACAAGGCCTGAGAGGAGGACAGAGCTCAAAGTACTAAACAGATGTGCACACACTCATTTGAATAGTAATACTAAAACATTGATTTGTTACTATAATTAAGGCTCTTCTTGTAAACCCCCATAATAAAGTCATATTCTGCTAAACTGGCAACTATAAGAAAGCATCAGGTACTCATTTTCTAACAAATGTGACAATAAAATAAAGGATTTCAAAAGGACTCCACTTAAATTTCAAACTGAAATCCTGAATAAGCAAAAATAATGTGAAAGCAGAAAATTCCAGCTAAAGCTCAGAGGAGAATATTCTTTCGGATTTTCTAGCTTTGCAAGTTGGTCTCATCAGCAGTTTTTAAATAACCAAAGTAAAAGGCTACAAGATGAACATTGTTAGAGGGCTATTTGGATCTATCAAATTCTCACTTGTGCCTTTTTAAAAACTGGAAATCTCAGAAATAATAAAATGCTGCTTAAATAGGTCACATCTACTTCCAATTGATCCACATATTAAAGTATTACCAACTAGCATTCTACTGTCAGTGATTTCCATATTTTGAAAAAATATCTATAGAATGAATACAAGTAAAATGAGGATGGTCAAGATTATAACTTTTTTTTAACACTAAGGACTTTTCTTGGCTCTGCTATTGGGATTTGGGATTATGCAATATATAAAATTGTACTTTTTAGCTGTCACGGAGAAAATTATACATTGGCAGAGATGTTTGTGTTCCGGAAGTCTGGGGGGGTGGTATTCTTGGACTCAGACCTTGAACGATCCATCAGGTTCTGCCCACGGCAAATCTGTCCAGTCAAGTCTTAAAATAGGAGTTTTAAAACGGCCACATCAACATAACTGTTACTATAGCCACAGAAACACGCAGCTCTGATTACTGAATTTAATGAATAACAATGTAAGTATAACGGTATGATCATACCACAAAAGCAGCAAGGCTCCTTGGGGGTGAGTCCCAATCAAAGCAACTATTAACGTAGTATGCAGCATTTACAAGCACCATGACACAGCGCTTCGTTCTGATAAAGTTTCTTAGTAGCAGCTGTAATAAAGATAAAATATTATTAGAATTTTCAGGACTAAAAACCATCAGATACACCGCAAAATTCTTCAAGCTTACTGTGATTGAAAAAGGATTCAGAAAGTTGATAAAGTTATAAGAATATACCAAGCAATTTGGCTCATGAGGTAAAGGAAGAGAAGTATCTCTGGAGAAAGTAGAAGAAACTGAATTATAAGAGCAATTTCTTAGCTAAATATATTCTTTAAATAATACTACCAGGTATGTTAGACTACCTCGTTGAAAAGAAATAAAAAATCTCCAAAGGATTAATAACATTTTCTGCTACTTACATATTACAAACCTTAAATATATTTTGACCCTTAAATCTTACTAAGGTTTTAAAGATTCTTTAATGTTTTAATTTTAAGCTATTTCAAAGTGAAATGGACAACTTGGAATGTTTTTATTTAGGGCCTTAGAGAAAAATCTGCCAATTACTACTTCATTATAGAAAACATTTTTTTTCTATCATTTTAGTAGGATTCTTCCTTTCTTACTATTATATGCTCATTTTCTCTTTCTTTCCCTCCCCCTCTCTCTATCTCTACCTTTCTCTTTCCCAGAATAAATTTAACCTATATTTTGTCATAATTCTGGAGTCAGGGAAAAATTATGGTAACCCTGTGCTTTACAAGATCTTTACTAAAAAAGGTATATGGGTATTGATATAACTTAAATTTTAAATTTAAAACTAAGGCACGACTATAACTATACAAAGAACTAGATGATGTTCAAAAAATTAGTTACAGCTATGTTAATAATTAGAATGATATGTTTGCAGGTTAATATTGTGTTCCTTCCAAATATACTTTAATGCTGATCTGGTATTTTAAGGAAGCAGCAATGCACAGTTTACTGAGATCATATGGAAAAACTATGTATGTGTAAATATAGAGGCAAGTACATGCATATTAGTTTTAACAGGTTACTCAAATTCAAATTCCTTTCAGTCAAATTTAAGAGTCTCCCTACTCACTTTCCTTCTTGGCCCCTGATCATTTCCTTTAAGAGCTACTTTTATTAATTTTATCTCTAATTGCAGAAAAATGTAATCTGTATTTCTATTTAGATAGATACTGTATTTGTAACTCAAACACTGTCTCTAAACAATCCAAGATTCCACTGTTTATGATCAATTGACTGGATTAAAAATAAAAATCAGTCTTCTAATGGTAGGAAAATTATTAAATATTTTTATACACACAAATGTGCTCTGTAAACTTTATACATAGATCAAATACATTTTATTTTAGCTGTGTTAATTAGAAGTAAACATTTTTAAAGGGGTTGCTTAGTATTCTTTCTTAACTTGATTCAAACCTAATTTAAAACTATCAGTCTAATTACCAGCTATCAAGCCTAATTTAAAATTTCTCCATGAAAGAAAAATCAGAGTTCCTGATTTTCTATTTTCTTAGCCTGAAAATGTCAATAAAAGTTCACTTCGAAAAGATCATAGTCAAAATCTCATTAAGAAGGTTTCCCTTAAAAGATGGAGCCCCCTCTCTTGTGGATTAGAGGGAAGAGCTTTGTGCTGGGCTCGCTTTACACACACCTGCATCATACCTGTGGGTGGTCTGGACAAATATTTGAACCTCAGCTTTTGGTGTTCTCATTTACACATTCCATGGCAATCAAATTGTATTTTATGTTCAAAATGATCATTCTTTTGCTAACGCATGAATACATATCCATTCTGTGCAACATCTACAGTATCCCCTTTCCTTTTTGACCACCCCCATTCAATTTATTAGTTTGGTATTGTCCTTGTTTGATCACTTAAGGAAAGGAAGGGAAGAGAGAAAAAGAAAGAATAAAAGCAAGAGCCATTTCACACGAGCAGATGATCAAAAATTTCATAGTCTTCCCCCCCTCCACACCTCCAAAGTGTATCTGAATGTTTTACAGATATAATCAGGTCTTCCCAGAGGGATTAATCTTTCCTTGCTTTTTACCTGTTTAGAGAGTCTGTTTTCCTCTTCAATGTACTTCTGTTCTTTGGGTATTAATGTTCGTAAGCTGGCTTTCACCTATACATCAACATATGTGTCTGTTATGGATTAATATATTACAAATGTTTACAAGTTTTTCATGCAGTTCAATTTGCAATAATTTCTAAAGTTTCAAAGTCCTGGCTGCTGTGCTCATAAAATATAAATGTATACAGTGGCACATGCATGCACTTCCATTTCTTAGGCAGGCAGGCAGCGGCTGGAGTTCAGCCGCAGCGGCAGCCGCCAACTATAACAGAAAGTGTGGGTGTGCCAGGCAGTGGCAGAAGCGTATTCTCCAGGATACATCAAGGTTTAGAGAAAATGAGGAATGACAGAAATTCTCTACAAATCAGGAACAAAAGCTTTCATGAAACTGAACTCTTTAGCAGTACAAAAAAGCCAAAGTTAAGACTTACAGCATTAAAAATCACATCTATTTCAAGATAGATGACCCCCTTTGTTGGCCCTGTCAGCTGCTTGTTTTTCAAGACGTAGGCTTTCTGTTCACCATTTTGAATCTGCGGGAAAAGGACATGACAGCCGTCTGTCTCACGGTCTCCACTGAATACACTCCCTCGGTGACCTTTGACCCCCAGCTGCTGAAACTGACAGAGAACCCAAAACAACTGTGGCAATTCTGACAAGTACCTGTTCATTACCAGGATCAAGTCTGTCAGGAAAAATTAACTATCATGGGATTCAACATGGCCGTGAATTGAGTATGTTAAAATTTTTAGTGTTCTTATTACAGACCTTGGTTGAGAAATGACAGATATAGAGCTAAGGATTTTTTTTCCTTGAGCAAAAGCAACACAGAGCAGTGTATCAGGTGAATAAAACTTACAGACAGCAATGGTATAGCAACTTTGCCCAGAAAGTCAGCACTTCGATCTCGATCTTCATCATAAACTGTCACTTCAAGAACTGAATGGATATCTTTAATGTTGCTGCATCATAAATATATGTAAGAAAAAAATAAAGACTTCATCAGTAGAGAACAAGAATAAAAATGCTTTTGAAAATTTAGATAGCTCCAGCTGGTGTGTGTGTGTGTGTGTTTATGAATGCTATTTGCATACACACAAACACAAGGTAGCCTGGTATCTGACAAAATTTCCCACAATGCACCTTAGGTAGATCACAGTGATGTTTCTATTATCTGGAACTGTGAACACCATCGATATTTCAAGTTATCACTTTTTAATGAAATGTAACTTTCCATCTGGATGGGTACAGAATAAATTATTGTATAAAACAAACCACCAATAAGTGGCCCTGATATTTTTTAAACTTTTCCTTCTTCTCACTATCACAATAATTCCTATTGTTCCTATTACCCCATGTAAAACATCACCAGGTTTGATATTAGCAAGAGTCACAGTTTATTTCATATAATTTTGTTTTTTATTATAATAGGACATCTTTTTGTTTATAGCTGTCATGAAAACATTGACTTATTTCTGTTGGGTTTATAGTAAAAATTAACTAAAACAGAAAACAGAATAGGGAAAATGTAACATTGATAGCTACTGTACCACCTTAGGATTTAGAAAGTAGGTAGTGTTCCATTATGTTCCAAAGACAACATATGTTAATAAAGAACTATGCAAGCTCCTCATATTTTTGTTTCTGGAAAAATAAGCCCCAACTGTCTACAGCATTTTTTCTTTGATCAAACAGTTTACCAAGAAAACACAAATTAAGAAAAGACAAAAAGTGAATATATTCATTACTGCAACCACATGTGAGAAGAGGCTTTATCGGGGCACAATCAATTAATGGCTTTGATAATAATCAAACCTATTCATTCAATTATGCATTCCAGAGAAAAACATTCTCCACAACCGTCTTAGGAGTGCAAGTCTCCTGACCAGGGCTTTCATCTTTTATAAAAATGTGGAATTCTTTAAAGATAAATTGGTCAGATAATTAAATTTGATTAGTTACTGGCTCTTAAGCAGAGACATTATAAGAAATTAATATGACATTCAGAAGTTTTTCAAATACCAAAAAACTACATGAGAATACTTTTAAGAAGTACTTCTGTTTGGAGTTTTCCCTTGTTTAGAGTTCATAACTAAAGCCCAGTTAAAAAAAAACAAAAACAACAACAAAAAAATGACCTTAGGTGATACTATAGTGTAGCATTTGCAGCTTTTACAACATATGATCAAAATGGTTTATAAACTTTTTTAAAACAAAAGAAAAATTAACTCATAGTGTGTTTGGGTAACTAGGACAATACTTAATATTCTTATTGTGCTAAAATGCAACAAACCAAAACTAAAGCATCTGCCGAATTGGAGACTGGATTGTTTGGTGATTTGAGCAATGGAACAAATAGAGCTTTGTCTTGCTTGGTGTCAATGCAATTGAGGAGAATTTCAATAGAAGGTATAAAAGGAAGAAGCAGTATGGCAATTCAGTTAATGGGAGCAGAATCCTTAGACAAATCATATAGAAAGTACAGTTTAAAAAAAATATCTGTGAAAACACAGAAAAATGGCTTGGCCTTTCCCCAGGATTCACTATAGGAAGATATTGCAATTATGATATTCACTGTTCCTGGCAAAGGCAGCCCAGATGCACTGAGCTGTTAATCAGTTAAGAATAAATGCACACACAAAATCTCAAAAGTAAATGTCATTTAGCACCATTTTTGAAATGAGCTCTAGGTAATTACTACTTACAATGTGAAGACTTTGTTCCACTCAGGATTGAGATTTTTATAGACGGTATGTGTTAGCAGCCTATCATTGTTCAGTTCAACTACACAAAATGGGTCACTTTTACCTACAAGAGATTTGGGGGGAATATTTTTAGTATAAATAGCACCCACAGCTCAGAGATTCATAATTATGACCACATCTCTTGTTAAAAAATTTGATAAAAATAAAAAAATGAAGTACAATTAAAAAATGTTTTAAACAACATCAGAATAAAATAAAGTTAGCTGCAATGGGATGATGTTAATCACTGTGATTCATTGAAATATAGAACCAGAAAAAAAGTAAAAGAATGAAAATTATACAGCTGATATTTCAGTTTGCAGTTTTTTACAAAAAATAATTTAACTGCTAATTATGAGGGAAAATGTGATACATGTCCATCCCTGAGGCCGTTTTTATTTAATTCTATAGCGACCATTCGAAAGGGTCAGGCTCTTCACTTCTATCCATACATTTTCCAACTCCTCTGGCTAGTAGCTTGTAACAGAAATTTTTAAACAGGTTGATTTGGGGAAAACTGCTATATGGCAGAGTTACAACATTTTAATCTGACTTAAGATTGTCTTGTGAAATATCTAAGACATCACAAGAAGGTAAATTAGAAACTCTGAGGCAGAAAAAAAAATCTGTCATTTGAAACTTAACCTCAACAAACAATCTGCATGTTAAAGAGCAAGTCTTTTATTTTTGCCTACTGAGAGTAAAGGATCTGCCAGTTATCTGTTTACAGCAACTCTGTTCTTCCGTAGGCAAATCTCGTCCATTCAGCAAGTATATTTTGTGATGTCCTCAATATTTTGTAATGTCATGTCCTGTATTATAAGAACCCATAAAGTCAGAGGCTCTATGGGGGCAGCATTAATGATATTAGTGCAGCCTGTAATTTGTTTGATACCTTATACAAATGACAATGAAATCAATATTTAGACAAAGCTGTCCAGAGGTCATATCTTTTAAACTGCAATATTGATTTAGACTACATAAGAGGTTAATGTGCATATTATTAACTTTAATGATAAAGAATAATTGTTTTAAATGCATTGTGAATTATAGTCACAGTAGTTTACACTTCTGTGAAAGCTTAAATATCATTGAAGATTTTCAATTAAATTTTAATAGGGAAAGAATTCATTAGCTATCAGTGACAGATAAGCTATGTATTCTCACACAGCAGTGTATTTACTTTCTATATTGTAGTTCTTAAAATGAGCTGTACAAACTTTGACTCACCTTTAATTTAATTTATTAATTTTATATTAAAAGAGAGATTTAATATGTGTGTGTTAGTTCAGTGGTCTCATATACCACAGGATAATTGCATAATTTAACATGATGGTAGTCTTCTTAAAATTTGGTCTTGGGAACAATTTTCAATAAAGAATAGAGGACTGGAAAGTCTTCTAGATCTGGTGCAAATTAACTGGTGGCTTAGGATGTGTGTTATCCTTTCTTACCACCTTCATTCTTCTTGCCCTACCTGCTATCATCCACACTTACAACTCACACACCATGGAAAATAGTCCATAAAAAAGATATTTTGTTTATTAAACACATTGTAATAAGTTTTATTTGTCACATAAACAATTTTTCTCCCATATAATTCACGTACAAGCATAAAAATTCCATTCAAACAGTTCTTAAAACCTTTTTCTTAAGGCTCGTATTAAGTATCTTCTTTCCATCTAGCTTTGTGCTGTGCACTATGACACAAGCAAAAGAACAGAGAATATAAACCACAACCCCAAGTAGTTTATAGAAGTGCTGGAGAAATAAAAATATCTACTATAACAATGAGAGAGAAAATTAAAGCCATATTTATAATAGAATTCCTTGTCAAAAGAGTAACTAAATCACTTTCACTTTAGACAAGACTTTAGATTAAATGATTAGCTTTGGAAGCACATACTTAAAAGATAAGTGTAACTCTCACACTCTTCCGTGGACTACCTTTTAATTTTTCTCACACAGCCATCTGAATCTTAATTCGGTAAAAAAAAGACTATATAAAGGTAGTAGGTTTTGGTATTTTTGTTGCCCCATTTTCACTTGCTTTACTTCAATTACTAGTCTGTTTCAACTGAGTTGGTTTCACTTGCCCTTAAGTGATCAACAATGTGCAATAGATTCAGTCAAAACTGTACAATCTCTCCTACAGGAAAAACATACTAACTCCAGAGACCAATATCAGGATGGGGGTGGGGGTGGGTGGGTAGGGAGGAGGTACTTTACACATCTACAAGCAGAGGATGAAAATCTTTATTTGATTTTTTCACAGGAATTCTATTCAATTGTATGAAAAGTTTCCATTTTAAAAAATTAACTCCATGGAAAAGCTCTTAAATCATAACCTTCTTTGTTAGTGTATTTTTATTTGCTGACAAAAAGAAATCTTGAGTCAATGATTGGCTCAAAGATCTTAAAGAAACAAAATCCATTTTTAATGTTTAACACTTTATGTATCTGGTTAAGAAACTAATGCATTTAACAAACCCTATGCCCATGAGGCAGTGGCTATTCAGATTTTCTTAGCTGATTATTTCATAAGGCCATTCCTAGGGAAAACCAAAATTAGTCACCTATCATTACATTACTTAACTCTCTCAGTCACTCTTTACTATTGGGATAAAGGTATTAAAGCACTAGAGACCAAAATAACAGTTTGAACACCTTCTGAAGCCAGTTGTCAGTCATTTTGCTATTTTAAATTCCAATGCCATACTATCGTTATCAAAAAATATTGTCCTATCTGCACTTACCTTATAACTTGAAATGGGTAGGCAATATAATTTTTAAGAGACCATGTTATTAGATACTGTGTAAAATGTAATGGTACTTACATTTTTTAAGAAAGAGCCTTTGCCTAAGGTAGACCAAACTCCTATTTAACATGGCTTTAATTTATACTGATTTTTCCCAATCTAAAACCCATTATTCTTAATGTGCTTAGAATTGTATTAAAAGACCGAATTGTGCTCAGTGACATGAACCAGTCCTTGAAAATTGTGCCATTTTACACTTCTCTGAAACCTTATTCTCAAGTTTAACACCTTTGATGTCTTCCCAGAGTTTATAGGTTAAAATCCATGTTGTATGGCATGGGATATAGTCGTTCAGCTTCATCTCCTATCTCAAAATCTTTTCCATCTTACTTGAGCTATACCACACCTTTCAAATCCTCAACTACTCCATGTACTTCCAAGAGCAATGGGTAAAGCACTGGAGTTAGAGTGAGAGATCAGTGGCCTGGGGGAAAAGGCCTAAATTTTGGAGGCTGAGCAAACTGGGATTGAACACTCACTCCACGGTCCTGGGCTGTTCCCTTCTGTAAAACATAGTGACTATAATGGTCCCTAGCAGAGATAATTCTTACAATAGAACTAGCAGAGTGTCTGTCACACAAGTAGAGCATCAATTAGTGACAACTTTAAGTAATGTCTTTTCAAGCAGAAATATTTAAAACATCAAAATGTGCTTAAAAGTATAAAAATAACAGGAAACAATTCCTACCTTGAGTTAAATCTCCTAGTGAAAAACAGTAAACATTTGTAAAATATTTTACAAGAAATTAGCAAATAAAGGGCAATTATAATACTTATTATTATACTAATTGTAAACATTTACTGAATTTTGTATCATTATAAGCCCAACATTATATTTTATGTTCATTTGCTTGAAGATTTTATGACTACTGTATGAAAAAGGAACTTTTACTATCCCCATTTTATAGATGAGAAAACGGAGACTGGGATATGTAGGTAGTGGAGCTGCTATTTAAACCCAGGTCTATCCAACCTCCGGAGCCCTTGCTCTACCCCTGTGGTCCATGTTCCCTTCAATGAAATATATTCCAATGCAAGCCACTAGACAAGACCTTTGCTAAAACTATGTCATATCTTAGTAGTTGGGCCACACAAGGAAGAACTGGCTAATGTTTTTACCACAAATCCATTCATTCAGCAAATACTTATTACTTATCATGTACCAAGCAGTGTTCTATGTGTTGAGGAGATAGAAGTGAATAAAACAATGAAAACAACAACCTTGAATTCATGGAATTTACATTGAGAAAGAGGATAGACAATGAATAACATTTTAGAGTATTTTAGAAGGCGGTAAGTACTATGAAGAAAAATAAAAATGGGAAGGGTGTTGAGGAGTGCTGGTATGTATGTGCAATTTTTAAAGGGGTTGCTGAAGAAATTCTCATTGCTAAAGCGACATGGGCAAAGGAGTGAAAGAGGCAGGGAGTGAGCCTTGTGTTACCTGCAGGAGCAGGTCATGGAAAGGTCAGAGAAGTGACTGTGTCTGATGTTTTCTAGGACTAGCCAGGAAGTCGCTGTGCCTGGAGGAATGGACTGTGGCAGGGAGAGCGATAGAGGACATAGTCAGAGAGGTATGGGGGGCGGGGCGGGGGGTGGCAGGCCTCAGTAGGATATGGCTGTCACTCTAAGTAGAGGGGGAAGCTTTTGGAGGGATCTGAGCTGATGTGTGACATGATCTGGTGACTGCTCTCTGGAGAGCATGCAGAGAGAGGGCGATGCAGGAGTTAGGCAGAAATGTTAGGAGGCTGTCGCAATAGTCAAGGCAATGGAAAGTAGTTAGATTCTGGATATATTCTGAAGGAAAAACTAACAGGATTTGAAGATGTCAATATTGAGCAATCTATTATGCCTGATATTATTATTTGAAGATAAAAAAAAACCCAACAATTCATTGAGCTTCGCCAAACCTGTGCTTTTTCCCAAGAAGCATTCAACAAAGTGCACAGGTATCTAAAATCTAGCAGAGGAAAATTTAGGTAAAAACAAGGATCAGGCTATTTTACATTAACTTCTATTTACCTTTTCCTAATGAAAAGTTATCTTTTTATAGGTATCAGTAATGGATGCCAAGATCAGGTCATTACACAGTGTGTAATTTTTGACTAATTCAGAAAGTGTCCACCTGCCACAGCATGATTCAAGGGCAATTAAAAATTAACAGCGATTTCAACCAAAATAATAGTAAATATACAATATCGAATTCTATAAACTTACTACTAAAAAGCATACACTGTAGTTTTAT